TGAGGTATGTTGATACAGGCCAGAATGGACCGGGTATGCTGGAGACCAGTCTCCGCCTGAATACCTCCGGCCCAGGTTGAAATTTCCCCAGAGACTGGTGGGTTGGGCGACATTGAGGCTAGATCCTCGCAACCAGCAGCGTTCCCTGCCTGGACAGAATCTTCGACTCGGCCACCAATTGCAGGACAAGGGGCGGAGGCTGTGGGACATCAACCCTAACACAGCTGCCGGCCTAGACTCCATGGTGGCCCATCCCCGTGGTCCTGGAACCCAGTTTGGCCCAGGACGAGCGGGTTGGGACGCGCCTGGGTCGAGGACGCTCGGCACAGCCCATTCCCCGTCCCAGAGCTTGGTCAGTCCCAGAGCTTGGTCAGTCCCAGAGCTTGGTCAGTCCCAGAGCTTGGTCAGTCCTACCCTACAGGTTCCCTCCTCCAACTTACATGTAGAGTTTTCCCCAGAGGAGAGTGTGCGCTACGGATAATGGAGCTTCGAGTATAGAAGGCGATGATTGAGGCATTTTGATCACGGTACAAAACTCTACGATAGATTTTCTCCCCGGCCCTGAGGTATCCCCCGTGTGTATTCCTAAGTATACTGAGGACCTCGAATCTATGTCCCACTACCGCCCGCCTCCCTTCTCATCAGATATCCTCAAAGAGCTTTCCTGAGTACGATGTTTGACTTAGGGTCCAGTGTTATGATCTGAATGCGAGCAGGTCTGACCAAGGTAGGTCCCTTGATGGAGTGTCGGACAACCAAGAATTGAACACAGCTCTCCCTCTGGGCTTTCCCGGTTCTTCTAGGGGTAAGCTATAACCATGATGAATGAAAAAGGGCTGAGCCGATGTTTACATGGCTGCTAAAATCGTCCAGGCGTCAAGCCATTCTTCGTTGAGGAGCCGCTGAAATGATGTTGCAATCGAGTCCACCACGTTGTTAATCGCAACAATGTCTCCCTCGCGGATTTTGCGCTTGCCGAGAACGTTGGTTCTGACGTCTTTGATCAACAGTTCTACCGCACTATTTAAGGTCCCCTTTGGGAGCGCGTCTTGGGTGGAAATAATCTCGTCAGTCCACGGTCCGTTGGTCATGAGAGGGTACTTACGGCGTCCACAGCAAAGATGGCATGGAGTTCCCGACACTCCTCCTTCGACACAAGCTTTTCGTCTCTTAACATATCACGCAAAACATGGAGATCCGGGCTCTTTTCGGCGATTAGATCCTCCAACTGTCGACCTAGGATATCGAGTAGTTGTATTCTTCTTGGATCCTGCTGAATACCTCCAATTATCACATCGAGCTGTTCCCATTCATCTTGGTGAGCTCCCTGACCACGAAGATACTTTTAGCTCATGGAAGGGCTCTTGAAATTGAAAGACCTACCAGATCTTGGGACTGAATAAGATTCCCAAGCCCAACCCCTTGACGAGTTTCGTACTCAACTTTTGGCCTCTGCTGAGCTGCATGCTGATCCGCTTCCTCCGGAGGTGCTTGTCGTGCGCAGTGATGCTGAAGCCGTGGGTCGAAGATTGGTAATCGCTACCACATTCTTCTTCTCGCAAGCCGATCCTCCCAATGCTGCTGAGCCATGTGCCTGGTCGTTCCGAATCCGCCAGCCAGGTGCTCCATTTCGTTCAACACATGGATGGCAGCACCTTGGTGGCCAACCAGCTTATTCTTCTTGATACTGATGGTTGTCAGCGACAGTTCAATCTGTTTATCGTACCATTCCCAGGCTCCCATGTACTCGAGCATGTTTAATATCGTCATTCTTTGATTCTCAGACGCTCCCATCTCGAGTACTTGCATCCACATGGAATCGTCGGACCCCTGGTTCAAGTTCGATGCAACCATGCCCTGCGGGTCACTTTTCCCCACGGTCCGCAGGATCCTCGAGTGAACTGCTCGAGGGACCCCATGAGGATACCTGCTGAATTGATGGATGATGCGAACGGCTTCGAGGATTACGTCCATCAATGGAGTCGCCTCCGCTAAAAACGAACCTGTCGCCGGTTGAGACAACGAAACAACGTTCTGAATTGACATCGGTATTTTGGATCTGTCAACCTCTTCCGCGGGAATTGGGAACAATGCGCCTGATATCTGCGTGGAAGGCACGGATAAAGCCACATCAGCTGGTTGGAGAAGTGGTCTTGTAAAACGCAATCGTTGTTGCTCATTGGCTTTGTTCCCTCCTGATGTGAACTTCACCTAGAAATGGGCGGGTTCCATGCTCTCCTCCCAGAGTGGCGCTTGTCCTGCACCCTGGCTAAGCGGCACGTTTTTGAGACTTAGGGCACAGCCCTCCTGCGGCTCATACAGTTGTTACTCAACGGTGGTTGAAGTGGCGCTGTGACCAATTTCAGCGACGTCGTTCGGGACTTGCGCAGAAAGAGTGATCATGCCACCCAATTCGGTGATGGCCTCAATATGCAGAACGGAGGGTGGAATGTGGTTGGTGGACTCTAAAGAGTAGGTCTGTGTCCTTGTAACTTGGCGGATAGAGGTGGTCCATACGCCAGGTCCTTGTTGGAGACACGTCTGCGTTTCACGGCGAGGATAGCGAAATTACGTGGCTCGTCCGTATTATGACGTAAGATAGTGTCCTCACAGAACCGCTAGATCGTTGCGACGAGTGTCCAAGCAGTCTCACCGGCTTGCTCGCATAGTTGTTGAATCTCGGTGTGAGACTTGGTTGATTCCTGGTGAGATTTGAACATCAGCACCCAAAGTTCCCACATACCTTTGGCAGATCCTGCATATTAACCACCATGCCGGAGGTAATCATGTTGACAAGCTGCTGAAGCACTGCCAGTGCGTGTTGAGTGCCGAAACATTGGCTGACGGCCTTTCGGGGTCGCGGGCGCGAGACTTCATCCTCAACAACCCAGGAGAGATGGCGAGAGAGCAAGCAGGCAGTGCACCAAACTATCGCTTGACGACAGATGGATTAGCTGGGCTGAGTAGTTGAGGGGGTGGGAAACAGGAAACAGCAAAGGGATCGAGGCGGTATTTACATATTGTGCCCTGAGGCGTTTCGACCTCCTAGGATGCTGAACCGATTAGCTAACGTGTCTGTGTCACATCGGTCGATAGTTCTGGTCCGGACAGGCAGCTTCTGGCAGTGGATGATGATGCCTTGCCATCATCAAGGTTCAAAGACGATGCCCAGTGGACCAGGATTGGGATAGATGGCTAGTCACGAGTGGAGGAACTACTTCCCTACTACTTCACTGCGTGACGGTCTCGCTAACCCCCAATAAGGCATTGCTGATATCCTAGGGCACGCCCCTGGACTCTTCTACCGGAAAGAGCTCCTTTGAGCCTCTGGCACCATCCACCTCTCACACAGCTCCCAATAGCGGTAGCACATTTGGTATGCGATCTCAATCGCTCGTTGGCATGAGTGAAGCACACATTTGCACCACTTCGCTCACAAAGGCCACTTCCTTGCCTGGTGCCGGAAAGGACATGCGCATCGAGAAAGCCTGTCCCCTCGCAGTCCATGCTAGTGCGGATAGAAATGACTGAAGGTCTTGCAGGATAGAGATTCGGCATGAGCGGTATGCTCCGCTGATAGTATATCCAAGGATCCGTGCCTTAGGAAGGCACAATTCAGGGCTAAGGTATGTGGCGTCGGCGGATCAGAAGGCAACGCCTTAAACATAAGCTTGTGATTCCTTGGGCCTACGGAGCATGTTGTGTATATCCTTCAATAACGATCCTTGTAGGAGATCCGCGGATGGAAACGTCCATCTACAGGGCGATGGAGAGGCTTCAGAGGGTATGAGACCAATTTCAAGAAACATTAGGATCGGCAGCAAGGTGGTGGAGTAGAGGTTCTTCGGCCGCAGCCCTTCGTACTTGATCTAAATAAATCCAGAAAGACGGGACGAAAATGAGCAAAAAGTTGGTGGCCTAGAACCTCCCACGAGTTCAAATCGTAACGTGTCTAGTAACCCGTCTCGTCTTCCACAGTGGGTAGGGGGTGGACTCTGAAGGGACACTGACCTATGGTACGTGAGACTTGATACATTGTCTTCAAGCCATCAGTCATCCCTGATTCTCACTTTTGGTGCCAATCTTCAATATAATCATGGGTCGTTTCTTCTCTGGACAAACTTGTTCTGACTTCGTAGGCCTGTACCATCATTAGATCTCCGGATCGATCCCATACATTCAATAGGACTACTTACGGGGTGCTCTGCTCGCTTTGAGAAGATGCTTTATCACTAGAATCGTAATAGGGATGCGTTTCTTCATAAATCTGCAGACAGAAGTTAGAAAACGCCGTGAAGCCGAATAGGGTATCTGACCAATTTTGCACGCATCATGGCTGAGTTTTTAGTTCCGAATGGCTTGTGGTCGCCTAGTTCTGGACAGCGATTGGGATGACCATCTTCATGCTGCTTCTCACGATTATCGCGAGTGATCCGACGGTAGAACCTCCTACCACAAGTGCCACAAGCGGACTTACCTTTATTCGATACTCGTGCTCCTGTCCCGGGACCTGTATACTCAGCGTCTGACCGATGTGACTGGGCTTTCGGCAAGTCAGGAAACTCTTTGGGTTCGGCGGTGGAGCAAGGGACCGTCAAACTTGCTCCAGGGACCTGCGATCGTGAGTGCTGCTTTAGATCTTGTCGCTGCTTAAGCGGATATTCGCCCAACACATCAAGCATATACTTGTATGTCTCAAGATCAAGCGCTTGAAAAAAGGACTAAGCCGAGTCTTAGATTTCTGCTGTGGAATATCGCTGCCAACTCACCACTGTTTCTGCTCCAAGACTCGCTCTCGATCGTTCACAACCTTCATCTTCGACCTTACGTTTCTTGACTTTTTGTTCATATCGACATTTTTTGCTAGCGATCCGATCTTCATCCTCGGCCTTACGTTTCGTGTCAATTTTTTCAGCTTCCCGCTGATCCGAGAGAATTTCCTCAAGGTCTTCGTCATCGCGATCTGACCGTAGCTGGTCAACTTGGTGGTCGAGAGATGTGTGCTTGGCCCGCAAAGCCTGGCGACGAGCATCAAGGTCGCTTTGGTTTGCTGCCGCAGTCACACAATGTTGGATGCGCTCCATGATGGTTACTACTCCGTCACGATAGACTGACAATACTGATCCTGTACAGATGATGAATCGGGTCGTTTTTGTAGGGTGAAGGAATCTAGGCCATGCCTATAAATAGCATATGGGTTCGCCCCTATTTCTAACTTTGGCGATGCTATTCATAGATGCCGTCCCAAAATACCCAAAAGCCTCGATTACAGAATCAAAATGCTGATACTGTATAGAGAGATTAAAGCGTAGTAGTTTACTTGAGGAAGTTAAGATGGGAGCTTGAAACAACTGAGCTCTCAGCAAATCGAACGGAGGCGGCCAACAGGTCGGACGGCGGAGGCAACTTTGCCGAAAAAAGCAAAACAATAAAGTCACGTGAAAGGGCTGGTGAAGGACAAGGCTGAAGGTAAGCCAGTCTGGATCAGTACTGAGCCCCAACGAGGCTGAAAGATCGCGCATATAGTATACTAAGTGGGGATGGTCAGGCGCAGTCAACAAAGGTAATTTTCGTTACCTCAACACGAACATACGTGACGCTTGGCAAGTTTCTCTAGGCTCTCACTGCCTAAAACACAGCCTAAAGTTCAGGCGTGTTTTAGTTAATGCTTAGGGGCATAGCCCCTAAACCCACCCTTATAAGCATCTCGTCAAGAGTCACGTTCCTTAGGGTCGAGCTAACGACAATTACCTTTGCTGACTGTAGTGTAGAATAGTAGCCCGGCATGTACATACTGCTGCTCATGAGGGCTCAATGATCCGCACTAGGCCTCTATGCTCCACCCTACAAAAGTGGTAATGCTGGTAGCTACCTAAACCAAGTGGCAGCTACCTAAACTCCTCAGCTGTACCAGGGTACCACAAAATGGCCAGGACCTCAGCTGGGCTAGGATCGATGTAAAAAAGGGTATTCTAGATCATGAAGCCGGCCAAAATATATAGGAAAGGTAGGTCATTTGATGGAGTAGACACAGGACGGTGTCGAAAGGTGATAATGGGAACTCAGTCCGAGATATCCTAAAGTGTAGAACTGTTACAAGTCGACTGCGAATAGTTCTATCTAGTGCGACGAGCGTGTATATGTCATATCTGGTGGCTCAACCGGGATCAGTGGCTCAGTACTGATCCAGACTGGCATACCTTCAGCCTTGGTGCATGCTGAGCCTCTCTCAGCGTTGTCCTTCACGTGGCGTTTCACGTGACTTCACTGTTTGTTTTTTCGGCAAAGTTGCCTCCGCTGTCTGGCCTAACGGCCGCTCGATTTGCTGTTACCAGGCTTCCACCTTAACTTCCTCAAGTCAGACTACGCTGTAATCTCTCTTTACAGAACTGTATCAGCATTTTGACTCTGTAGTAGAGGCTTTTGGGTATCTTGGGATGCCGTCTATGAATAGCATCGCCAAAGTTAGAAACAGGGCCGAATCCATGTGCTATTTATAGCCTTGACCTGAATTTCTGACCCATACAAAAGCACTCGATGCCTCGTCCATGCAGGACCACTGTGTCAGTATATTGTGACGGAGTGCTAACCACCATGGAGTGTATCCAACGTTGTGAGACTGCGGCAGCAAACCAAAGCGGCCTTGATGCTCAGATCCAGGCTTTGTGGACCAACAAGGAAAGTTTCGATTGCCAAGCCTCCCAACTACAATTAGATCGCGATGACGAAGACTTACAGAAACTTGTCTCGAATCAGCTGGAGGATGAACTAATTGACGCGAACCGTAAGGCCGAGGCTGAAAATCGGATCGCTAGCAGAAAATGTCGACATGAACAAATCGTCAAGAAACGTAAGGCCGAGGATGAAGATCGGATCGCTAGCAAAAAACGTCAATATGAACAGATCGTCAAAAAACGTAAGGTCGAGGATGAAGGTCATGAGCGATCGGCAGCGAGTCTTCTAGCGGAAGCGACGGTGAGTTTTGGCTGCGATATTCCACAACAGAAATCTAAGACTCAGCTTAGTCCATTTTTCAAGCGCATGATGACGAGACATACTGGTCCATGCTTAATATACTGAGAACACATCCGCTTGAGCGACAACATGATCTTGAGCAGCGCTCACGCTCACCGACACTTGGAGCACGCGGATCGACGCCCTATGCCGTCGCCGAACCCAAAGAGTCTCCTGACTCACCGAAAGCCCAGTCACCCCGATCAGATGCTGCGCACCTAGATCCTGGGACAGAACTACGACCATCAGGTGAAGGTAGGTTTCTATGTAGCATTTGTGGTGGAGGGTTCTACCGTCCGCTCAGTCGCAATAATCATGAGAAGCAGCATGAGCATGACCATTCCCATCGATATCCAGAATCAGGCGACAATAAGCCATTCGGAAGTACAAACTCAGCCATGATGCGTGCAAAATTGGTCAGATACCCCTACTCGCATTCAGGCCGTTTTCTAACTTCTGTCTGCAGGTAGGTGAGGAAACGCATCCTCATTGCGATTCTACAGATGAAACATCTTCTCAAAAAAAAATCAGAGCACCTGGTAAGAAGTTCTATTGGATAGATAGGATCGGCTCGAAGATCTAATGATGGTACAGGCCTGCGGAGTCAGAACAAGTTTGTCCAGAAAAGAAACGACCCATGATTATATTGAAGATTGGCACCAAAAGTGAGAATCAGGGATGACTGATGGCTTGAAGACAATGTATCAAGTCTCACATACCATAGGTCAGTATCAGTTCAGATTTCAGCCCCTACACCACTGTGGAAGACGAGATAGATTCACTGGACACATTGCGAATTCAACTCGCGGGAAGGTGTCTGCCCACCCACTTTTGCTCCATTCTTCCCGTCTCCCTGGATTTGTTTAGATCAAGTGGCGAAGGGCTGCGGCCCAAGTATCCTCTGCTCCATCACCTTGCTGCTAATCCTTGTGTGTCTCAGTATGGTCTCATACTCTCTACAGCGTCTCCGTTGCCCTGGAGATGGACGTTTGTATCCGTGGAGCTTCAACAATCATCGATATCAAAAGACATCCACGCCATACCCTGTGGGACCAAGGGACTCCAAATTTTCGTTGAAGGCGTTGACTTCTTATCGGCCGATGATACGCCCTAGCCCTGGTGGATTGTGCCCTGCCTAGTTCAAGGATCCTTGAATGTACCATCAGCGAAGCATAGCGTTCATGCCAAATTCTCTGTTCCGCAAGACCTTCGGTCATTCCTACCCGCATGACCGTGACTGCGAGGGGAAAGACGCCCTTGATTGGCATGTTCATCCAGGCGCCATGCCGATCGGCGGTCTTGTTGGGCAAAGTGGTGCGGGGTGTCCCTGTTCTCGGCGGCCGTGGTCTCATACGAAATCGGCCTCGGTCATGGGGAGTTGTTTGAGAGGTGGGTGCTGCCACGGGAGCTCAAAGTGACTCATTGGGGCAGAAGAATCCAGGTGCAGGCTCCAGGCTATCAGCAATGTCTCGTTGGGGTTTAGTATCCATCGCGCGAAGTGAAGCAGCAGGGAAGTGATATTCCGCTAACCGACATTCATCTATCCCAGTCATCGTCGACCCATGGTCATTGCGCCCTGATGATTGGAAGGCGTCGAAATCTACCGTCGCAAGCTTCCTGTCCAGACCAACACTGTCGACCCATGTGACCTCGGACCCTTTGGCTGATCCGTTCGGCATCCTAGGAGGTCGAAACGCCTATGGCATAACGGTTAAATACCGCCTCAATCCATTTCTTTTCTTGCTTCTCTCCCTCTCAACTGCCTCAGTCATATCCACCTCTCGTCAATTAATTGTGTGTTTCCCGGACAATTGCTCTCGTCGTCTCGCCTGGGGAATTGAAGATGAAGTCTCGCGCGTCTGACTCTAAAGGATCATCGCTCGATGCTCGGTCCGCGATCACTCAACAGGCACTGTCGCTGCTTCGGCAGCTTGTTGATTTGATGGCCTCTGGCATGGTTGCTAACTTGGAGGATCTACCAGAGGTATGTGGAATTTGAAAATCCTAGGTGCTGATAGCCATATCTCACAATGAACCACCCTAGTTCCACGCCGAGATTCAAAAGCTTTGCGAGCGAGCCCGTGAGACTGCCTGCGCAGTCGGGAAAACGATACAGCGGCTCTGTGAGAACACCATCCCTCATCAAGAGACGGATGGGCCACGCAATGGCTCTGCCCACTCCAAGAAACGCAGAGCTGTTTCCAATAAGGACTTGACGTATCGACCACATTTCGCTGCGAAGATCTCAAGTGCAAAGACCAAAATCTTGGACATCACCGACGTTGTACCATACTCCGTTCAGGATCCTGAAGATATTACCGAGCTGGGTGACATGGTCACTCATCCCTCCCAAGCCTCGAATGACGTTGTCAGAATTGGTCACATCGCCAGTCCAATCACATTCAATCAAAAACCGTATGTGCCGCAGGAGGGCCGTACTCTGAATTTTAGACCTATGCCGCTTGATCACAATACGGGCCAGGCAGCCACTGTGGACGAGCACTTGGAATCTGCTGTGGTTAAGGTTGGGTTCACTTCAGGAGGGAACAAAGCCGAAGCGCAGCAACGATTGGGTTTCGGCACACCACTACTCCAACAAACTGGAAGCGCTTTGATTGTGTTATCCAGGCAGATACAAACTGCAGCGTCCTTAGAACCCACGAAAGAGGTCGACGGAGTCAAGATGGGGATATCAGCTGAGAGCGTTGTTTCTTCATCGGTATCGGCGATAAGCTCATGTTTAACAGAGCCCGCCTCGGGGTTGAACATGATTCTTGAAGCTGTGCGCATCATCCATCAATTCAGCAAATATCCTCACCGGGTTCCTCGGGCTGTTCATTCGAGGATTATGCAGTCCCTTGGGAAGAACTATCCTGAGGCCAATGACGTATCCAGGGTGAACCAGTGGTCTGACGGTTCTATGTGGATGCAAGTGCTCGAAATGGGCTCGTCGGAGAATCAAAGAGTGACGATATTGAATATGCTGGAGTACATGGGAGCGTGGGAATGGTATGATAACCAGATCGAACGGTCACTGACGACAATCCGCACCAAGAAGAATAAACCGGTT